GGAGGTGCGATAAATGTTCCTGACTTATATTTCCTCTGTTCCATTTTCTTTGTTGGTAAACTGCGTAAGATTTACCATAGACACCCAATATTTACACCTACAACGCACTCATCGGAATCATAACCAAAGTGTTAGTCATCCCCAAGCCTCTGAAACAGTAAAACAACTAGTTACAAATTTTCTGGATTATACTACTGCACCTCCTAGCTTTCTAGAGCCTTTATGTGCGGTTTAGTGTCTTCATGAAGGTTCAAAGGCATATTTTTCCTTGCCAATAAGCCTCTTCTGAAGAGGTGACACTAAATAATTGACATTTCACTATATCTTAATCTTTTTTCAATTTCTTTGTTCATATATTTGTCATTCAAGTTTATAATTATTAGTCTATGAGGGGAGTATATCATTGCAGAATCTTGTTGCACCTTACATTTGTAGCCTTAACATTCCTTTGTTTTCAACAAATATCTTATTTTATGCTTCAGGCTGCTTGCACAGAACTTCGGAAGAGCAGGTTGTTTCACAAACTCCTTGAGGCGGTTTTGAAAACTGGCAATCGTATGAATGATGGAACATTTCGTGGTGGTGCTCAAGCATTTAAACTTGACACGCTTCTGAAACTATCAGATGTAAAAGGAATAGACGGCAAAACTACGTTGTTGCATTTTGTTGTTCAAGAGATAATCCGTTCAGAAGGTATACGAGCTGCCCGTGCCAGAGATCGAGGGAGCGTGTCTAGCATCAAGTCTGATGATCTACCCGAGGATCAGTCTCAAGACTCAGAGGAGTATTATCGGAGTACTGGTCTACAGGTTGTTTCAGGTTTGAGTAGTGAACTTGAAAACGTGAAAAAAGCTGCAATTTTGGATGCAGACAGCTTAACAGGCACAGTATCCAAGCTTGGTCGTGCTCTAAAAGAATCACGGGATTTCCTAAATTCAGAAATGAAGAACGTAGATGACGAAAATAGGTTTCACCAGACCCTGAAGAGTTTTGTGCAGAATGCTGAGCTTGACATCACGTGGTTATTCGAGGAAGAAAAAAGAATAATGGCCTTAGTTAAAAGCACAGGAGATTATTTCCATGGAAATGCAGGGAAAAATGAAGGTTTACGATTATTTGTTATCGTTCGTGATTTTCTGATAATATTAGATAAGGTATGCATAGAGGTGAAAAATGCTCAGAGAAAGCTAAACGGCACACCAAAGAAGGAGAATGTAGCAAGTAAAACTTCAGAGTCCAGCAATCCACCGTCCCTCGATCTCCGCCAGAAGCTCTTTCCGGCTATCACAGATAGGAGAATTGACGATTCTAGTTCGGACGATGATGCTTCTTAAGATAAGGTAAACCTGGCATCTGTGTTTTTCTTCATTTACTTGAGACAATCCACTGATCAAACTATTACTTAAGACAATCATAGCATGCAAGTACACACCCCGAGGGTGTGGCCTAGTAGTCAATGAAGTACTTACAAATTTTCTCACATATGTTTACGTACTTGTGTTGGTAGGAGGTGACAGGTAACAAATCGAATACTTGATGTGATTACGAGATGACCTGAAACCTGAACATTACATCCCTAGTAACTGAAATCTTTCGATTTTTTTACTGTACTGAGTCATTAGTACCACACAATATGTTGTATATGAAACTACTATATATGTCAAAGCCAAATGTTGTGTGTATATACATGTTGAATTTGTTTTCGTTCTTGTTGGCGTAGGGATCTGAGTCATTTTCGAGCTCAAGTATGGTAAATAGGGAAACGAGATTCAGTTTTTGAACGTTGTGCTAACCGAGGGATCTCAATTCGAGGCAGCAGAGGTGGTTGGAGTTGCTCAAAGACGACGATATGGCTAGTACATGGCTCTATTTCAATTATTTTCTTCACTGAATTTCCATTTGTACTTTAGAAGAATAGTTAGGAAAAATTCTCATTCATTTTTTTTTTTTATAGTTTAGTTGATAATTCTTTTTTTTTAATTAAATGTAATTGAATAAAGTAGTTATATTAATTATTATCTATGGTGTTCACAAATTGAAATGGTAGCTTTGTTATTCATCATAATTCTCCATTTATCTCATTTTGGTAGTTTTTAGTTACTAAAAAATTAGTGTTAGGTTACTTTAAGTATTTATGGTAATCTCATGGTTATTTATATCATATTTTGATAAGTTTTATTCTAATTTTAAAACTATATGATTTTGTTTTGGTAATTTTTAAGTTACTAAAATTAAACAAAATAATCTCTAATCAAAATAGGAATACTTAAGATTTATTATTCCTAAAATTATCATAATGATAGCATACAAATTCTAAATGCATTCGAGGATTTATAAAAAAGTTCAGCCTAAAGGGAAATTAAATTAGGAAATAATTAACAAGTAAATAAAGATGGAGGGAATACTTATTTTGATTATAATTTCAACATTGTCTTTGTTAAATAATAAATATAATTTCAAAAATAGTGTAGTTTATTTCCTAAAAATATAAAGCTTCAATAAATAAAAAGACAAATACAAAAATTCAAATATATATCTTCAAATTTGAAGAATTAAATTATTTAAACAATAATAAAAACCACAAATTTTCGGTTAAATTTCACTCTTTCCTTAATATTTATATATATATCAATTTTTATGCAAACACATGTATTATTTATGTAAAGTTTTTCATTCATATATTTTTGTACATAATGTAAAATCTTTACAATATTAATTTAATATTTTAACGAAATCGTCAAGTACACTAGTGAATTCAGTAAAAATCATCTTATAGCTGTCTGGGACGATATTATGTATATAGATTTTAGGCTTAAGTCATCTACAGTCACCTAAAGTTGTCCGCATTATTCACTTAGACACTTTAACTAAGACTATTACCTATTAGACACCTAAAATATACAAAACGTTAACCTATTAAACACAAATCGTGAATTTGGCAATAAATGTGGATCTCACGTATGTTAAGCGCGTGAATAGATCCAAATATTTTTTTTAAATTATTTTTTCTTATTAAAAACTTGGACATTTTTTCTTTTATTGACACTTGGAAATAATGATTATTTTTTTTAGTTTAAAAATGATTTCTTCATCAGAAAGAAAGTAATTATAGTCTTCTTCTCCATTTTCTTTTTGAGTCAAACTTCTGCACTTCTTTCCTCTGCTTCTATTTTTTTTTCTCCATTTTTTATCTCAAACTTCTGAGTTTTTTTTTCATTCTTTATATCAAGAAAATCTGAATCTATGGATTAACTTTGTAAGAAGAAAGAAGATTTCGACATTGTAGTTTAAAAAGTTAGCCGACATCCGTTTGTTTTCTATCTCTGATCATTATAAGTAAACATCACCACTCAAATTAAAATATAAACCCATTAAATTTATTCAAGTGATATTAGAGAAAATTCTACAGAAATAACTTGAGTACTCTAGATTCTCTACGCCGTCGTTCACTAACATTAATTTATTTTCCATAAACGTCACTTCGCTAAACTACACATACGTTATAATATTCCACTATTTATATCATGCTTAATCCCATAGTTTATAATAAGAAAAAAATGGATCTTGCTAGAAGAGGTGAGAACGGAGTGACAGTGTTGAGAACCAAGAAGAAACACCAAAGGTTTAATGGTAGAAATTGTTTTTTATTTCTTAAATTTGAAAATTCATTTTTATGATTAAATTGGACCCACGTGCCACATGTCATAGTTTTATTTGTGTTTTTTTTTAAGACACAGCGTGTGAACTACACGCACATTATTTTTAAAGTTGGTTTCGATTTTGTGTTCAATAGATACATATTTATTAATATTAAAGTGTCTAATAGGTACTAATCTTAGTTGAGGTGTCTAAGTGAATAATGCGGACAACTTTAGGTGGTCGTATATGACTTAAGCCTAGATTTTATTATCCTTATTATTAATTCTCGCTACGAATTTAGTTCCATTATTTAAAATCGAGACAACTCACCTAATCGTAGGAATGAGACAATTTACATTCTTTCTACTCAACCATCAAAGTAGTACTAATTTATATACACAAACAAAAATAAACATAAACCCTACAATGAATTAACAAAAATATATTTCATTATATTCTTTGTAACATTAACAAATGGTTACATATTTTTTTTTCTTTTGTGCTATATATACTAAACTATCGTACATGTTTTCGATACCTAATGGCCCCACGAATCCTCCTAGCCACCTACCCCTATCGTCCCTTGCAACGCCTCCATATCCCGCTAAACCTGAATTCTGCATAAAAGTTCCGTCCGTGTTGATCTTTATGTATCCAGGCGGAGGGAATGAGTCCAACTAATGTACCTAGGGTTACAATCTAACTACCGATTGAACATGATCATGATCGTGAACGTTAGATTCATATCCAATAATGCAAGGTTGAACATGAGTTGAGTATCCAAAATTGGGAAAATGGACATAGTGCAAATTGTTAGCACTAGGAACAAATATTGCCATTTTTGAGAAAAGGAAAAAAAATATATGTACAAGTAAAAATGTAATTAGTTTTATAATTAAATGTATTTTCTCACAGTTTAATTTAATACTTATATTGTATTGTTGTGATTTATCAACACGTTGGAGATGATTTTGACCAATAAATTAATTCTCAAGTTATATGTGGCATTTTGTAAAAGTTGGATAGTTTAGATTTTGATTTTATTCAAGAGTGACTTGTATTTTAAAAAATGTATACAAGTGAATTCAATTATTTGGAGTTTTAAAAGGTGAAGTTGGGATAAAAAAAAATTAATTTATTTCAATATTTTTCTATGTATAAACGAAAACCTTACATTCTTATCGCTCCACCACAATTACTTTGAAATCGCAGATAAACTCCTTATTAGGTTACTCAAAATCGTATTACAAGCAGATTTTTATCGTCTTGTCGATGCCAACAGGCTATATCAATCATCAAAGTAGCACCAATTTGATGGTAAACATAGCTCAAAGTGTTCACGTCCAGAAAAAAAAAACAAATTAAAACAGAAATTGATTTGTATACACAACCAATATGAAACAAGGTATTTTATTCCCATGAACAGATATTGGTCTTTCATCATTTGTATACACAACCAAACATAAATCCTACAGTGAATTCACAAAGGTGTTGGCTGAAGATAGACGTTATGCAATGGATGCTTGTATTGTTGCGCGCTATGAAGAAGGCAGAAAGTTCTCCCTGATCAACAACTAGTTTTGGAGTGTGATGAGCAGAATGTTTAAACCTGATATGGACGGAAGCTATTATCATCCGAGAACACTTGGAAATAGACCAAGAAAAACCAAACATGTACAACACATTCTGAGATCTCAAATGAGTCATGAGGTTTTACAACGCATTCTATTCAATGGACAGCAGATAAAGAGAATCAAAATTGATTCCTTATAATGTAAAAGACTCGTTTGCATAGAAATTTTATGCAGTGTAATAAACAGTTTGATTGTAGGCCCTGACATGAGTAAGATTCGAAACAGTAATTTCAAAAATGGAACTCACAGATTAAAAAAATAGAACTAACCTGGGACAAGATGGAACCGTTGAACCACTAGTCAACCTGTTCACCTCGGAGAACCAAGAAGCTGAGCAATCGTGTCTAAACGCGTTGCATAACTTGTCTGTCTCAAAAGAAGACGTTCAACATCTGATTAAATCGGGCATCGTTACTACTCTGCTAGTACTGCTTTTCTCAGTGACATCAGTGTTCATGACTCTAAGAGAGCCAGCATCCGCGATTCTTGCAAAAATAGCAGCTCAATCGGAAGTTGGCATAGTACTAGTGAAAAAAGATAATTTCACCCTAATCTAGGTTCAATCCCAAATCATTTCTATCTCTTTGCATGAAGAGAAGACAAGGTGGATTAGGCAGTAAACTAACTGTCGTTGTGCCAAGTATCCAGTAATTTTCCCAGTAATGTCAATGAAGAACAGTCTGCATTTTTGTCTTCATCTTCTTCAGATAAATTTAGCAAACCCCGATTGAAAAGTTTCAGTTTTGCAAACACGAATGTCAACTCTTAGGTGGTTAAAAGTACATATTCAAGAAGGCGAGTTGTTTCTGTTGAGATAATTTCTACAAACAAAGAGCCAACTTCAGAGCCTTTAATTGAATTAACGGCTGGATTTTCGCCTGAGTCATTAGCGAATGACGAAATTGAAATTAGAGTTGTTTCTGTAGTTGGCAGGATAGAATAGGATAACTACATTTTAATCAGAAATCATGTTAGTACCAAATGGCATGAAAATGTGTCGATTTGGGTGACGGAAGATAGGTTTGTTGGTATAACCTGAACACTGTAATGGGTTATTAGATTCTGCGTACAACTACCTGTTATCATATGGATATATTGATTTTGGGGTGGCATTGGCAATTAAGGACAAGATTCCAGTTGAGCCAAGAAAGGGCGGAGAGACTGTCGTCCGGGAAGGTCTTGCTGGGTTGGTGGCTATGAGACAACTGATGTTATTTGGTTTGGAGGGACGAAAGTGTGTTGGTCGAAGGGTGTATCCATAACCTCTACCAAATGGTTTAGACGACCCAATGTTGTCATTACGAGAATATTCAAACCTGGAGGAAGTGAGATCCCTTTAGAAAGGCCAATTTCTTACTTGCCAGAGGCGTAGAGCTAAAGCAGCTCGCTACTGCATTAGTTCTAATATCCCCAGCAGATAAAGTGGTTCCGTTGCCTCAGCCAAAGTTTTTAGACATCCTGAGAAACAAGTTAAAAGGGGATTCATGAAGAAGCTGAAACTCTAAACAAGAAAAAGAAATACGAAAGAGGAAGCTAAAGAGAGGTGGGGAAGGACTTATACCCGAGTATGTTTTACTTGACAGTGGCTATGTCTCTTGATTTTATAACACCTGTTAAGCACAAAATATAAGAAATGTTAGCCTCAAATCTAATATATGCCACAGTTGCAAATGATATAAATAAAAAACAAAATATGTTTGTAATGATTAACACGAAACTTCAAGGCAAAATATTTACAAGCTCAAATTGATGAATAGTGAATCTATTAGGTCGACTGAATATATTGTTAAGCATAAGATAGGAAGTTAGACCTGCCACTTAGATTTAGGAAGATTTTTCATCATGCAGAAAATGGACAATGAAGTTACCAATAAAAACAAATGACAACGATAATTAAAATGTTTTCAAGTAAACAGCGAAACAAAAAAAAAAAAAGGAAAACGAACAAACTACAATTGAAGCTAGACTTGATAGGTCTAGCTTTGGTTTTGGAGTCATCCAAAAGAACTCACCTCGTACACAACAATACTAAAAGATATATAGCTCTATTGGAAACAATCTTAAGGTATACGTACATTATACATTCCTCAGATATATAATCCTATTGTTGTTGTTGCTAGGATATATAGCCCACGATTATTACATTACGCCAACTCCCCTACTTACTGGTGTCACTTGCATTTAACCTGTCTGGTCTGCTTATCTTATTTCAGCTTCAGCATTTAGTGCATTAAGAGAGCATTTCCATGCAAAACAATGTTGATGTAGCAAAATTATAGAGTTGATCCAAAAAGGGACATGAATAGCTATTTAGAGAGCTAATAAAATAGCTCGGGTATAAATAGAAACTAAATCTTGCTCGAGCAATATGTAATGAAGAAATAAGATGGTTGTAGAAAGAAATTAGTTAATTCTTTACCATAAACGATAAAGTTCAAGTATTTAAAATCAACATGATATTTTGGTGTTCAGTGTCTTAATTAACATTAGACATGCCTTATAAAAGATCTGAAGTATACCTTATCTCGGTTTTTCTCTTCTCAACCTTCAAATGCAATGTTCTAACACTAGTGTCGTCAGCCATCTTTGTAGCTTCTCTAAGCCCAATGAGAAATGGTGGTATGGTAGCGCAAAGAGAAGTCTTCATTCTCCGGCAGATTCTGCTAAAATGTCAGTCATACCCTGATGCACCCACATTGGAGTAGGAACCAAAGCTGAACGGATGGGCTCGGAGATGTTAATTCCTTGTGGTTCATATATACCTAATAATAATGCCTGAATCTCATCAATACATTAGCTCCATGACCATAAGAAACATAAATTTCATCTTTACTATAATCGATGCATTTTCAAATATATATATATCCTACTAGCAGCAACAATAAACGACAGATGATGAAATCATCTAGTTGAGACAAGAGAAGTCTTTTAACAGATTACCCACTTCTCTCTATGTGTTTCACTTGTTTTAAGAAGAGACAGAAAGTTAAACAAAGCAATATCCGACCTCAAACAAGACAATACATACATGCTCTTCAAACTGGAACTCAACGAATATGAAAGGGGCTTGGCACTGATACTCTTTCAACCTCTTGACACTAAACAAAGATAACATGAATTTTTCACTTCCCGAGCAACTCCATTCTTATTTTTCTGCTCGTGGAGTTTTTTAGTCTTTACTTGTTACTTGGCCACCAAATAATATGTTATTCAAAAGAAAGAAAGATAACATTTTGGTATATTGAAAGCTAAGTTAATATGGAACATGACATTTAATTACCTTCTAAAACTTGGAAAACTTTTTTCACTGCATCAGTAGGGGCCATTCGCTCAAACTTGTATGGCAGCTTCTCCTGCGACTAGAGCTAACAATAAGGGCCAACTAACAACTTTTTATAGTTTCAGAACAAAATACTCTCGTGAAATCTCCAAGATAAACAACCTCCACTTTTTTTAATCCAAAATGGTAGTGTACCTGTCTAAAGATCCCTCCTAAATCAGCAGTTGTCACCTTATTCCCCCTTCCACCTTTTTTGTACAACTTTTCACCTACACCCTTTCGTCCCTCCTACGCAGTAACTTCACGAAGCCAAATGACATCAGTTTCCTCGCAGACGCAAACCCAGCAAGGCATTCCACGACAACAATCCCTCCGCCCTTACTTAAGCTCAACTGGAATCCTGTCCTTAATTGTCAAAGCCACCCAAAAATCAAAATACCCATATCATAACAAGTAACGTAGAATCCAATAACCCACTACGACCTTCATGTATAACATCAACAAACACATCTTCGTCACTCAAACCCACACATTTTAACACAATATCAAATGTAATTATACTATTCCATCCCGCCAACTACATAACCCAAACTTCCATTTTGTCATACCTTAATGAGTCAGACGTAAATCCAGTCCTTGATCCAATTAAAGCCTCAGAAGTAAAACTCTTTGTTTATATAAACAATCCCATCAGAAACAAGCCACCTTCTCGAATTTGTACTTTTAAAATCAACATTTTTGTTCGCAAAATCAAAACTTTTCACTCAAATCTCGCTAAATTTATATGAAGAAAGCAATGCAGACTGTCCTTCATTGAAATTACTGAAAAAATAACTGCATACCTGCTACAAGGACTGTTTACCGTCCGATCTACCTCATCGCAGGGGACGTAAATGATTCTACATTGAACCGGAGTTATGGGTAGCTTTAGAATTTGAAATTGGAAGTAAAATCTAGGGTTTTGAGTTGGCAAAAATGAATTTTTCGATTGATTTCTCTGCTTTCTGTAACTGTTTTAGCAATGGAGAAAACGATGAAATCTATTTCTTGGTTGTAACGAAGTGAAGAAGAAGAAAAGGAGAAAAAATGGTGTAATACAAAAGAACAAAGTGACAAATATATATATATATATGCATGTAAGCCAATGTATTTTTTTACTTTTCACAAAATATTATTTATATTATTTTATTTTATTTTTCGTTACATCCAATAATATTTCATTAACAACAAAACAATTCTCGAATTTTCAAAATATGACCAAATACTTTCTTTTTTATTTAGAACTCCTAATTCTTCACTATCGTGTCAATAGTTGTACTAAAATATAATTTAAATCATAAGTTTCACTATTGTCATATTTATGATTTTATAAGTAGTGTAATTTTTTCGAGTTCAATAATTTAGATATTTAAAACTTAAAAAGATGAACTTGTTTTATCTTCTCTGAACGTTGAAATAAAAAAATAATAATTTATTTCAATCTTTTCTTAATATTTTATACATCCATTTTTGTGTTAACATACTTATTATTTAAGTAAAGTTTTTCATTCATATAATTTTATACACAATTTTTTTCTTTTGTGATATGGAGAACCGCAACTCTTTGGGTGCGCACGGGTAAAATTCTCGCTTTTTTGTAATAGCTCGCAAATTACATAGGAGAGATAACTTGCAAACCACATAAGAGAGATAATTCGAACTAGGCAAGCCCGATACGATGAGCTCGACCCAGAAGGGGAATCTCTTGCTTTTGCTGGAAATGGGTTTCAAACTTAAGACTTCCAACAAGGAAGTCCCAAGCACAAACCATTGGCCATCCAACATTACATTATTTTGATAATTTGATGAGACTGTTGAATCCAACAAAAATCAACTACATTGAATTAACAAAAACATAAGGAGAACTTACACACATAGCCACTCAAAATATCCTGATTACTCTCCATAACTATAGTTTGATATTATAATTCGTAGTTACATGTTATAGAGAGGAGAAAGGCGAGCGAGACCCGAGGGAGAGAGGAGAGAGGCGAGAGAGAGGGGGCAAAAAGTGGAAAAGAGGTGAATTGTGTATGTATATCAGCTAGATAATTGCATATTATACATACGTATTTGTATATATGGCAAGCGAGATAAGGAGAGGGAGAAGAGAGTCAAGCGAGATTGAAAGAGAAAAGATAGAGGCGAGCAAAAGAGGACAAATAGTGAAAGAGAGGTGAATTATATATGTATATCAGCTAGATAATTGTATATTATACATATACATACGAGCGAAAAACGATAGATAGTGGAAGAGAGGTAAATTAGATGTGTATCAATTAGATCATTGTATGTTACACATATGTATTTATATATTCTGGCAAATTATACATATACGAATGTGTTAATTATACAAACTCAAGGTCATCCCACGTCATTAATGTATAATGTTAGTCGTAACTGACAATTATAACAAACTATAACTACAATGAGTAATTGAGTAGTATAAACTTGCATACACGCCGAACAATCAAGTCGCGATAACAAGATATCTCCATCGATACAAAAACCATCAAACTTGTCAAAGATACAAACTTGAACAAAGCTCTTTCTCATTGACTCCCCCAATTCAAATTTTTTATATGTATATACCGCGGATAATATAATCAAGAGACTTGAAACTCAAGTTCATTGACGCACATTTCAAAACTCGATGGATGATAAAAATCGCAATAAAGAAAGATTTCCATCAACACAAGAACCATTAACCATGTCAAGATACACAATCAAACTAAGCTCAATTACATCGACTCATTCGATTTGATGCATACACTCACATTTCGTCAATTATAAGAAATTCGAGTCTTGAACACATTGATGTTTTCATTCATTGCTCAAATCATTTGTGTATACACAAAAACAAAACATAAACCCCAAAATCTACTAAACACCTAAAGAAACACTAGCAAATCCTTAATACTATTCCAGAAAAAGAACAAAGAGCTATAAACTAAGAAAAACCAAGTCTTGAATATGTTTAATCTTCATCAGCAGATGGCTTTGAACCACCGGTTTTCTTTGGAAGCAGAAGGTTGTGAATGTTGGGCATCACACCGCCATTGGCAATCGTTACATCTCCGAGAAGTTTGCTTAGTTCCTCATCGTTCCTCACTGCCAATTGAATATGCCTCGGAACGATCCTAGTCTTCTTGTTGTCCCTTGCTGCATTTCCAGCTAACTCAAGAACCTGCAAATAACAAACACTGGAAAATTAGAAACACGAAAGAAGAACGAAAAACTAATTGGTATATCAAGTTATCTATCAACCCCATACAAACACCAGTGAATTTGCTTCCAAATACTACCAACAGATCTAACATTATTCAGGTATAGCAGCAACAATGAAGAGACAGAAATACAATTTTCTTCCTGTAATGATTTGATTCAAACAATAATCTTCTATACAACAAAATCTCAACAACAACATACCCAATGAAACAATTTCTGTATTGAGGTTCAAAAAAGTAGAAACTAATTTCAGAATTATAATTTTTTTTGGCTTCTCAAACCATCTGTTCCTTAAAAATGCGCTCTTTAAAGCTCGAATTAGGTTAATTTCAGCTCAAATCCCAAACCTAGCAATTGATTTAGACAAAAATTTAAAAGGCAAATGACAAAATTAAATTACTAGAGCTAAAACTCAACCTTAAACGAGAGAATTGCAAACCCTAGCAATCGATTTATACAAAAATTGAACAATTAAAGAAGCAAATTTCAAAATTAAAACTATCAGAGACAAAAATCTACCGAAAACGAAAGAATTTCAAACCCTAGAAACAGGAGAATTCCGAAATTAAAATTACTAGATCTAACAAATTCGAAACCCTAACAATCAATTCACACAAAAAACTACACAATTAAATAATCAAACAACGAAACTAACCTCAGCAGCAAGGTACTCCAGAACAGCAGCTAGATAAACCGGAGCTCCGGCACCGACACGTTCAGCATACTTCCCGGCTTTCAAAAACCGAGCAATACGACCAACCGGAAACTGAAGACCAGCTTTGCTACTACGAGAAGTAGCCTTTTTTGCTGTTCCTGAACCTAGGGTTTTGCCTCTACCAGCCATTTATGGAAGAAATTTGCTATAAAAATGGAGAAAATTTTTGTAGGTTCAAATTTTGAGAGCAAAAATTGGGCTGCGAATTGAGAGGAATTTGTGAAGTTTATATATAGATGGAGGATTTTGAATTGGACCAATAGGAGTAGATCACGCGGATCGTGATTTTAAGCCGTTGGATTAGATTAGAATTAACGGTGAGATTAGAAGGATCGATGATGAAGAGTTCGGCTTTTATTGAGACGGATATATCCTTATCAGTTTACTTTATTTACGATATGTTTGCCATTATTATTAAATGATTAAAATGAAAATTCTTTTTGAATAAATGTTTTATAAAATCCTTATGATTATTATTAATTATAATCTTGAACTAAAATAAAGTAGTGATAGATAGGAGTGATGATATTTTGTGTCCTTTTGTATGGACGTTGAAAAAGTTAAAACGATACTTATTTTGGAATGAAGAAAGTAGTATTAATCGCCTTGATGGATTGTCCGTTTTTGTTGCATTGGTTAAGATAAATAGAAATTGGTTGGATTGATCGATAACTCTTTAAATTTGTTAGTAAAATTTATTTAGATATTTGAAATATGACATGTTCTGATTGAGTATTTACATGAACATATTACTATTAGACACTTTCGACTAAACAAATTGGATTTTTTTGGGTATTTTCTTAGGCGTTTATTTCGTAGATGAATAACCATTTTAAATTGCATTTCAATAATAAGGAAAAACAAAACGACAAATAACTAGATCACAAGGATCTATTACACACAGTCTTTACATTGCATTTTCACAAGTACGTATAAAGTCAAAAATGTATTTATTGACGTATAACAAATGTTAAACCCCCTTTATTTCCTTATGTATGTAGATTTATGTTTCAGATCTCTTTAGGAAAAATCGTAACTTTGCCTCTACCAACGGTCTATCAAGCTTTCCTTTGAAACAAAAATAATCATTGCAGTTTGATGAGTGGGGTTTGAGGAAGGTAGGATATATGCACAGACCTTATGCTTACCTTTGTAGGATCGAGAGGTTGTTTTTGATAGACTCTAGGCTAAAAAAAATGGGGTTTTTTCACAAAGATATGAAACTTGTATACTAGGTTCGAGTAAAGCATCACGTTCGAGCTTTGAATAGGAGCTTCAATCTGAAAGCATAACACAAGAACTAGTTAATTTAAGTATGTTACATTAGGCTCTCCTAAAATGCATGTACCTTTCAGCATTTCTAAAAAGTCTGAGTAACATAGCCCAAAAGAGAGACTAAGCAAACATTTGCAATTCATTGAAATTCAGCTCACTATGTTGAAATTACTCAAATTTTGATTATAATATAGAAATAAAATTCAGATAAAAATATCGCAAATTGAAACGTGGTGCATTTTCAACAAAAGGTGTTTTTGTCTAAAATGAATTTTTCACATTGAAAATAATTATTTTGAACTGCATCCATTATAAAATTATCTCACATAATTTTACGTGAATTTCATGATACTGAGTTTAGGATATATAAATAGTTGATGTAACTCATGGATCAATAACTCAAGAACCTTTTTTTTCTTCTATATTTTAGTATCTGCATTAAAGTCATCTAGTTCATAGTCAAGCTATGTAAGGCTCGCTATGATAAACCAAGTTCATCTCAATGTAGATATCAAGATCATATAAGTAGTTATGAGGTTGATAATAGCTATTAGATCGATAACAAGCATAAGGACCAGATTAATTTGGGATCTTAATTGAGTAATGGACATGAGAACAATTCTCAAAAAAGACAGTGATGTGTGATTCAGGGATTATGCAAATTATTGAGCAAAGAGTCTCTCATTTCCATTCTTAGTATGAACTTCTGATCCCCCTAATCTTCTTCCTTTTTTGTTAACATTTTTTGTTTCATTTTAGGAATCGTTAATTGTTCATTGCTTGTTGTTTTCATTTCTTAATTTAATTTGAATTATTACATCCACTCAGATGGAATCTTTCTCTATTTTTTTTCATATTCAAAACTCAAACTCGAAATCTTTAATCAACAAATGAACAAAATAACTCAATCGACTTCACCATATTCTTTGTAGTAACAACTCACAACTTATTAAACAATATATTCTCAATAAGGTTTATATATAATTAACTAATATAGCTTTGGAATATCTATTTTTTTTTCAAATATTACATTCTTAGTATTAATATAGATAGATATATAAATAGAGAGTGTGATTTCTATTAATGGGAAAAAAACATTACACCATAATTATAATACAAGTGTTTTTAATTAAATGAAATTTCACAATAACAAAGAGAGCCAAAGGTGGATTAATTAGTCCAAATATCAAATCAAGAAAGGGGCTGGAATCATTGCAGCAAGGCAAGCTATCCTTGAGAACCTAAAATGAAAAAAAATCAACAAAATGAAAATTAGAAAAATCGTCGAGCTTTACTGATCCGACTAATTTATATTATTTATTTAAGATAAAATGAATGAGAGAAAGCCGCAATACATCTCCATCATCATTCTCTTTCGGGGGTGACTAATTAGGTTAAAAGAAACACAAGAGAAAACATCATTAGTCCGATGCATCAAGTGAAACTAACTCTCAACGTTAAGGGCAGCTCACTTGGTCAATTTTCGATTTTTATGCACTTTAACTATCCAACTTTTAAATAAATAAGTAAACGAGTCCTACATGACACAATACACGTATGACACCACGTATGACAGAAAATGACACGTAGGATGACATGTAGGACATGTGTGTCTGTTTGTTCAACTTTATACAAGTTTAAGTGTCTATTTTTGTACATCAAAGTTGAAAGACACAAGGGCATATTTATGTATTGTGTCTTTCTACTGTTAAGGCGAAAGGTTCAAACTTAATTAATAGCATAGCGTCTCCTTCCCCTCTCGTGACATACAAACTAAGTCACATATTTAAATGAAGAAAGATAAAGAAATGTGCATATTATTCCGAGTTTCAATAGTTGTTGCTAGAGGCGAAACCATAATTTTTGACAAGAAGTTCAAAATCAATAGAAATAAACACATAAAATAATCGAAGAATGAATTCAACATCTACCGTATATACCTATAACACCGATCCTAATTTTGTTTGACTATTATGAAAATACTCAAAACATTTCATATATCTTCTATCCATGTATAAAATAATTTCAATCAACTTCCTCTATACCTGGATTTACGATTGCGGTTATGAGGGAGTTGATTGACAGGCCGCGAAGCAATTGTCGCGGTCTTCCTCTTCAAATTCGTGCCGGAATCAGCTGCCACCATTCTCGGCGGTAGAACGTGATCTGCATCTTCCGATATAGAGTAAAGAGACGGTTTCCATTGAGGGAATGAACCAACTGATCTCGCCGATCCTCGTCTTCTCCGTCGCCTTCGTTTATACGTAATAATGGTGTTAATATCAGACGATGCTACAGAAGCTGTAGGTACAAGGATCTCCTCTTCTTCTTCTTCTTCAGTTCGATGTGATCGTTTTAATGAACAGCCACAACACGATACAAGTTCAACGAAGAACTTCATATTTACCAGGTATGTATGTATGTATGAACTTAGAAATAATGATTGCACGCAAGTTGTTTGATAAAATGTCGAAGTGAAATTGTGCTAAAGTTGTTTGATAAAATGTGTGCGACGGATTGCACAGAAGATGTTTGATAAAATGTACATGATAGAATGCCCGGAAAGTGTTTGATAAAATGCGTATAATAGATTACCCCGGAAAGGTGTTCGATAATATGATAGATTGTCGGAATAAAATGCGTATAATAGATTGACCGGAAAAGTATTTGATAAAATGCATATGATAGATTACTCCGGAAAGGTGTTTGATAAAATGTCTTCTGATAGATTGCCGTAAAAATGCCTTGTGATAGATTGCACGGAAAAGTGTTTGATAAAATGCGTATGAAAGATTACTCCAGAAAGGTGTTTGATTGCCGTAAAAATGCCTTGTGATAGATTGCACGGAAAAGTGTTTGATAAAATGCGTAGGATAGATTACTCCGGAAAGGTGTTTGATAAAATGTCTTGCGATAGAGATATAAAGATAAAATGTGTATAATAGAATGTGTTTGATAAAATGCGAATAAAAGATTACCTCGGGAAAGGTGTTTGAGAAAATGTTGCAGGAAAGATATATATACTTTGATAAAATGTGTATATGATAGATTGGTGGAGAAGTGTTTGACAAAAACGCGTAAAATAGATTACCTCGGAAAGGTGTTTGATAAAATATCTTATGATAGATTGTCGGAAAGTGTTAAAATGTGTGTAAAGATAGCAGTAAATGTGTGTATTTTTCTTTCTCTCTGTTAGACTTCCTCCCTCCGACTCTCTTTGTACAACGCGCTCTCTTCTCTTTCTCTCTTTGTTTCGATTTGGGAAATGTTTATGTTAGTTTGGCTCAAATGATTGTGCGAGAAATGTGGAGACATTATAAACAAGGATGGTTGATGAGTTTCCAGCCAAACATTATTTATTGTGGTGTAAAATTATTGGTTTAATACATACTTTACTTACCACGGACTCGTCACAAATGTCAATATGTGTTGGATCTTTGATTCAAAATGGTTGTGGAGCTAACATTTTTTAAGAGTTCGAGCAACATTTCCCTCGATACATGTCACTTGACTATACACTTTTCTCTTTTTGTATGTCACGTAGTCATAAAAAGTGTGTTTTAGACATAGTTTTGATATACATTATCATTTTTTTTTATAGAGATACATAAATAAATATGAGATTTCTAACCTACTAAAAAGGAAAATATGGCAATTTCTGATGCTTGTTTTAAAGAACGATAACAAACATCCGATGAAATAGCTGAGATGTGTTTAAGCTGACCTGAACACCACTTTTGAAACAAAGGAAAAGAAAAACCTAAATGCAATTATAACATTAATTTAATTGTATATAAACTTTGCCGGCCGACAGAAAGCTTATTAATTAATTTAATAAAAGTGCAAGATAATAATTTATATAGAGCAAGTGAATATCCATTATTATCACCAATAAACTTAAAAGAAACATGGCTAATTATTTATTTTCATCTATAAAATATTCCTTATGCTTAAATGTTCATACAAAGAAACATACATAGAAGGATGGGCTTAATAAAAACAACTTCAAAAAAGTAAAATTATTGATGTGTTTGGTAAATAAATGCTGATAAACAGCTTTTTAAATCAAAATGTCTGAAATACCCTTAAAAGTTGTTAACATAATAAAAGTTAATTAATTTATATTTTATAGCCATAAATAATTATATTTTGCTATCATTCACATATTTCTTTCTCATCACAAATTATTTATAAGATGAATATAAACTTATTATAAATTTTAAAGATATATAATTTGAATAGATCAAAGAATGATTTAAGATTTTATTTTAGTTTCATCCATATGTAATAATAATTGTCTATCATTCACATATTTATTTATTATTACAAATTATTTATAAGAGAAATATAAATTTTTATTTAAGTTATATGTGCAACTTATTTTATATTTTTTAATATTATATAATTTGAATAGATCACTTGAAAGATTTAAAATTTATTTTATTTTCATTCATTAGTAATAGTAATTGTCTATCATCCACACGTGAAAAGGAAAAAATGGAAGAAAGATATGTTTGGGTTATGTGGGTAATTTGGAGATTATATAAAAATATTAAGGGCAAAAATTAAAAATATGATCAACTTAAAATAGCTTATAAGCTAAAAAAAAAACATCCCTACCTCAGCAATAAGTTATTCTTAACTTAAAATAAGTTATTTCGAGTATTATCAAATAGTTATATAAGTCAAAAACCAACTTTCAAGTCAGTTTGACCAGCTTTTAAGCTGAGTCAAAACAATTCATAGTTCCACAAATGCAACATACCCAATATAATTCTACAAGTATGATCTAAAAAGTCCATATTCCATGGATTACCACATACTCCATGATCTAGAAAAAAATAGTGTACGCAAATCATATTCCTAACTCATGAAAGATAGAGAAGTCGTTTTCGAAAAACCAGACTAAAGTCAGTCCAACTGTAAAACACATGAGAGGAAAAGGTAATAAAATGCACCAAACAAGGATCATCATGAAAACAAAACTTACTAAACATCCCAACAAAATTTAGCATGTTATAACTTTACTGCAAAATGGGTTTTTAACTGAATACTCAAAAATTGATCAGGATAAAATAACAAGATAGAAAAGTAACAAGTGAATGGCTTAAGCCTTGTCAGCCTTGGCTGCAGTAGCAGCGGCTTGACCACGAAGACGACCAGTCCTCCTTGCAGCAATAAGACCAACCTTTTGTCCAGGAGGTGCATCACGACGGACTGTACTGGCATGACCAATGTGTTGATGGTTACCACCACCATGGGGATGCTCCACTGGATTCATAGCAACACCACGAACCTTAGGCCAGCAGTTCCTCTTCACACGGTACTTATGGTAAGCATTACCAGCTTTAAGCATTGGTTTCTCAGTACGCCCTCCACCAGCAACCTGACCAATCATAGCACGACATCCGCTGGGCACAATCTTTTTGGCTCCTGATGGGAGCTTCACCCTGTCGAGAGTTCAAATTTGAATAATCACATTCCATGGCCTTAGTATAACCACATTCCATAAAACTAACATCTGTTAGAACTAATAGATAGGATGTAGCATGACAACAATCTAACTAGGCTAGGCGTTCATGAAACTAACTAGTCACAGAACACAACACCTATAAGGTCAGTGTATCACGCCATTAAACATATTACAACTTGCGTTCTTTTTTCCAGATAAAACATATCACACATACAAAGACAGGTTTCACAATACACTTCCGAGTCTTTCTTCACCCTCACGACAGTGCACCTCAATGACAAACTTACAAAATAGTTTAACACAATGGATATGATTTGGGAAAACAAAAAGCTTCTCTCATCGCCAACCAAGCTTAATTACTAGGGACAAGATAACTTGATACAGTTAACCTTCTTCCCCTACTCCAACAGCACAACCTTCACGTTAAATTAGTCTATCCACATATTGAATAGAAACACAACACTGTATCACATAACTCGGGATAGCAACCGACTTCAACGAACCATATCTTCACTCTTAAGCAGATGCACATTTCATAGGCAATATCACCATAAAAGGGGTTAACACCAAACCATTTTCTCCCACAAGTTGAAACTTAACCATCATCTTGACTAATAGAAGCATTTATCAAGTCAATTAATCAAATCAACTACACCATATCAATCGAGAGGCGTAGTGACGTATAGTTACGGGTAGCCACTATATAAGCCAAATTATATTTTTAGTATGTATAGATTAAACATTTCTAGCTTCATCACTGCATGAATCCTAAACTAGTCAGGTTAGCTAAAAGAATCATTTTTTTTCAATCATACTAACAAAATTATGTTCATGTATTAGGGGTTCAAAAATATATAATTGAAACAAAACTGAGTAATAATATATACCTAGTGGTACCATTATCAGGATTGTGACTGATAACAATGGCGTAATCACCAGAACACCTAGCAAAGACACCACGGTCACCAACTTTATGCTCAACGTTACAAACAACAGCTCCTTCGGGAATAGATCTAAGAGGCAACACGTTACCAACCATAAGAGTAGCTTTTTTCCCACAATACACGAACTGTCCGGTATACATCCCTTCAGCGGCAACGAAAAGCTCCTTCTGATGCTTGTACCTGAAAGGATGACGGAATGTTACCCGCGCAAGTGGTGCACCTCTCCCTGGATCGTGAATCACCTCTGTGATTACTCCTTTCAGGTACCCATTTCTCTCGCCGAAATCGAGAGTACGGAATCGGGCCGGACCTTTCCGGTGGTGGGTATGGGATTTGAAAACTGACCCAGCTCCCTTACGTTGTGCTCTGATCACACGACCCATTTCGCCGGTTTCTCTCTCTACTCTCTCTCTCTCTACACTCTCTCGCCGGAGGGGTTTTGAGAAGAATGATAGGAAGAAGAAGATATACTAGGGTTTTTAGAGGGTAATGTGTTGCCCTAGTTATGATTTGGGCTTAAGAAATTTGGTCCAAGAATGATTTTGAGCCCATATAGGGATATCAGGGCCCAATATTTTTGTCCATTTTGGCAAGGAGCAAGTGCACCGTTATCGATTTGAGGATCGTTATTTAAGTCATAGCCGAAGTATATAACTTTTTGTGTAAGGTTAGACGTTTAGAATCAATTTCAATACTCACGGGAATATTCAATTGTTATTTAAGTCATAGCTGAAGTATATAACTTTTTGTAAGTTTAGCACTTTTAGAATCAAGGTCAATACTCAAATTTTTTGTAAGTTTAGCCTTGTGGAATCAAGTCCAAGACTTACGGGAATATTTAATCGTTATTTAAGTCATAGTTGAAATAGTATATGACTCTTTTTGTAAGTCTAGCCATTTTGAATCAAGCTCAAAATTCACGGGAATATTTAATCGTTATTTAAGTCATAGCTGGAGTATATAACTTTTTTGTAAGTTTAGCCGTTTTAGAATCAAGTTCAAGACTCAAATATTTTGTAAGTTTAGCCCTTTTAGAATCAAGTCCAAGACTCACGGGAATATTTAATTGTTATTTAAGTCATAGATGATGTAGTATTTAACTTTTTGTAAGTTTAGCCCTTTTAGAATTAAGTTTAAGACTCACGGGAATGTTTAATCGTTATTAAATCATACCTAAAGTATACAACTTTTTGTAAATTTAACCGTTTTACGATCAGGTTCAAGACTCACGGGAATATTTAATCGTTATTTAAGTCATAGTTGAAGTAGTATATAACTTTTGTAAGTTTAGCCCTTTAAGAATTAAACGGGAATAATACTATTAAAAATTATTCATGCCTGAAGTTGTTGTATATGAGTCTGAATTAAGTTTGACATATTAATTGTGTAAGCAAATTTTCTACATTTTTGTTTGAAGTTTTGTTGGCTTGTGATGCTAAAACTTCGTGTATTTTGGTAAGTTTTATAGAGTGCTTATTTAAATCAATTATGTTTTAAGGGGTAGAGTGTTGGTTAATTAAGAATTTACACCAAGAAAATCATCTACTTGCATTGTTTTAATAATTATAAATTCACATAATACAATTACCAATAGCTTAGATTATTTTTTGGGTTAATAATCGATCGATCAAAATTTATTAACCTGACTAATTGAATTTGTGTTGAATTAATCAACTAAAGAGGTGAGTAAAGTGAGATTATTATTAAAATATTTCAAAATTCGAATCCAAAACCTCATATAAAAAAATTAAAAGAATAACAATAATTCCATACCCATTGTTTTTAGTGTCTTAGGTTTTTTAGTAGTCCATAGTATCAATGCAATCTACGATGTGGTGGAATGATCAAAATCTTTCTATCTTCATCATATATCTCGAGTTTAAATATAAAAAACAAAAAAAAAACTTATTAGTCGGGAACACTTCCCCTAAGTCAATCTATGTAATGTGAATTCAAATTAATCTGATCGCTAAATTTCAGAAAAAATAAATACATATATAGAAAAACATTGTTAAGAGAGTTAGGATCTTAAGAGATCCTTTGCTTTGAAGTTATCTAATCAATCTATAAAAGATCCAAACAACCAAATAAACAAAAGATATACAAAGTTAATACTTAGAAGATTAGCATATATCTCCATCTAATCAACAATAGATCTTATATCTCCAAATTCTCTACCAACCATTCATCTAAATAGAGACTCTTATATATCCTACAATTTCAAGAAACCAATATGTAACTAATACACTATCAAAAAGTTACAGTCGCGTGTTAAGTATTCCGTCATTCTTAATCATAAGATCTGAGCAGTAGTTGTCAGGACATGAAGTCTGACTTTGGAAAGAAATTAAATATTTTACCTTCGTTATAATTTTTTTTCAAAATAAATATCAAACATCAAATGAGAAACACGCCTAATATGTTATAAGTTAATATCTAAATCACAAGACAACATTTTCTATCTTTGTGCTTCAAATCTGTGTCCTGTTTCAGTTTTCTTTTTCAGAATTCCTGTAAATTCAACAAAATGCAGTGTAATGTTCAGTCTATGGCACAAAAAAAAGACACAAAATGGACAACACAAAAATTGACTACTCAATTGGACTAGAAACTTTTCCTTTTTTTTTTATTAAAAAATTTCGAAATAAGTGACATAGTATTATTTCACTTGAATAAACAATATAGTTCACATGATATAAAATCAATTTGTACTAGTACAAATATAAGAAACAACTTTACTACTTTTTAGACATGTAATTTGAAAGATAATATTTATTACGAAGTTTCAAATTTTATTTGGGAAATTTCACTATGTTGGAGTATTTTCGCATATGAAATTTGATACTCTCTCTGTTCACAATTGTTTGACAGGTATACTAAAAGTAGATGTCCAAAATTTATTGTCAATTTAAACAATAAAGAAATAATTAGTCATTTTTTTCCAATTCTATCCTTAATAATCACTCCATTTTATTCAATTGAAAAGTTATGTAGAATTTTGATATTCTTGCTATAATAGGATTATATTAGTCAAATTACACCTTGTATTAAATTTTTTTTGATGAGAGTACATGACCTTACCTCGACAAACAATTATGAACAGAGTAAATACTTTATAATAGTGATTATTTTTCAATTACAGAAGTGATACACAATTTTTTGTGAATTTACCATATAAAGTTCAATTCAAATTAAATTTCTAAAACTAACCATGATCAAAAATCGAAATTACCTAAAAAAAATCCAGATTCATAAAGGAGAAAGTAAGTTGAGGGCATTTAAAGCATCATCCAATATAAAAAAAATAAAAAAATATTAAGTTCAATCGAATTCATAAAAACATAACATCACATCGATTTTTAACTATCATCGTAACTTGACTCACTATAACAAGTTATCTATCTTATTTTCAAAGGTAAAATAGATATATAACAATAATAGTAAAATAGATAAACTATAATAATAACTACGTCTCATTTTCAAACAAATCAGATTCGACTATAACTACACAAAGAAAAGAGAGCAAAGGGAGGAGGAATATTTACCATTTGGATTACAATGTGGTGGATCTTCAAAAAGTGAAAGTGAAAGTTGTTTATGAGCTAATCCAATATCAAAAAGTATAATCCCATAATTAAGATCATCAACAATAATTCCTTTAACAGGTAGCCACACAAATAATTCTTCTTGTAAAAATCCTTGAACACCATTAAGGCTACCATAAGTAAGATTAGCTTTTAAATAACTCTCATAAAAGGCTATTGTATCAAACTTAGTCAAACAAGGCCCATCTAAATAAACTTCAAGAAGCCCATTAGTTGTTGAGTAATTATAAGATTTTACTTCTTTTGGAAGAAGACCATATGGTAAGCCTTTGGATTTTAAAAGATCATGAATAGAGATAGGTGAAGAATGTGAAAAAGAGATGAACAACAACAAGAAGAAAATGAGTAAAATAAGTTGAAATTGATGATAATATTGAAGAAAAGCCATGAATGAATGAAATGATGAGAGAGAGAGAGAGAGAGAGTGTTTTGTATTTTTTTTTGGTTTTGATATCATTTATGTAGTTAGATATTATCATTCTTTGTTAATCGCGTGTTTTGTTCATATAATTTGTCATTATTCAGCAATCAATTTATATTCTTAAATATTAGAAAAAGTTTCTCATTTTATGTAGCACTTTTCGCGTTTTGTGATTTAAACAAGTGTATCTTTGACCGTAACTTTTTAATTGATCCTTTTAACATTTTGAATTATCAATTATTGTGACTTATCTTTACACAATTTATAAATATATAAATTTCATTTCAAAAAATTTAAAAATTTCATATGCAAATATCCAGTCAAAGTTAAATCGTTTCGCTCTTGAACAATGAAAAGCGTCACATAAAATGGAACAGAGGAAGTAATATTTGAGCCAAATTTTATTATTTGGAAATTGTTAAAAATTTAATAACTATCCCGAACTTTTATATTTTTTTAGAAACACCTATAAATATGAAATTCAGTTCTAATTTATTGTACAAAATTTATATAGGATTTTTTTATTTGAGCTTGCTCTCCGAAGTCATTTTTTTCGATTAGAACTAGTAATAGTAGCTTCTAAAAATATAAATACAAATTAATGATATTTTTCTTTAATTTGTTTTCTTCTTCTTTCAGATTCATACATTAGTTATGTTACTATTATAACTTTTCACGAAATACGTTTATTGTAAAATGACAATACAAACTTCTAGATATTTGTGATCGTTTTTAGAAACTATGACTCATTTCTTTATAAAGTAAAATATTTACCCCAAATACTATAATCCAAGTTTAAAATGTCCATGAATACACGTAAAATTAAAGAACATAAATATCATTAAATTTTTTTGTGAAATTTAACTAACGAGATTTTTTTTGCTCGGACAGTAAACACTACTTTAAAGTTGGTGGGCTCCAATTGGATTTAAGATAGTAGGCCCAAGTTAGATAGAAAAGGGGCCCAAAAATACAAATTAATTTCACATTTCTTCTTTATTTGCCGGCGAAAGACTTGATCTTGCTTTTGCCGGCGAACCAATCTCCGTTCATTTCTCCGGCGAAATTCCGTTTGTAAGTTCTTTTATACGAGTTATGGATTTTGTTTCAGCTCTTTTTTTGTTAAAAGAAATCATTAAATCCAATTTTTATGATTAATTTTATGATTTTTATCAAGTTGAAATACATCATTATGGTTAATCAGTTTAACAATATTTTCTGAATATTTTTCTAATTAAGACCATAAAAGAGGGAATTTTTATAATTTCATTGATCATTGAAGTTGAAATTTTGACAAAGCTAGAATCTTTGAACTGTAGTTTCTTGTCCTTTGATTTCTTTTACTATAGGTTGATTCCTTGTACCTCGATAATCGTATTACTTTGTTACTGTGTGTTGTTTTTGTTATTATGTGTTTCCTCTCAGGTCAGATATAGGGTAAGGTCTGCGTACACTCTATCTTTGTGGAAATATATTGGGTATGTTGTTGTTGGTAGTAGCTTTGAACTACACCAAGTCGAAAATCAAAGTTTGGGTACTGAAAAAATCGATAGGCCTGGTGATCAATATAGTGAGTTTAGAACTACTAGGTCTTAGGATTCATAGAGTTATTCGGTATGTCTGAGGTGTGGACAAGCTGGTCCGGACTCCACATTTATTAGTAAAAATGTATATTTTCTTGTGTCAACCTCTATCATGGAGGTGTTTGTGACTAAGATAAACATTTGTTGCATATATAGGGGGAGTACAATGCATGGAATTCTAGTGTTGATCGGAGAAAGAGTTTTTGTGATTTTTTACTGAGTTTTTTTCTACTATCACAGCCTGTTTGGATTGAAAGCATGCTGCTATTATTCTCCTTTTGTTTCCTAAAAAGATCAGGTTTAAAATGTTCTTGAGAGCTTTGATTTCGACTTGCTGATATTAGTACATCATTTTTGTGGCAATTTTGAGAAAGGTAGAGCTTAACTGGATCTTAGTTCTTGATGTACTGCTGGTATCTTCTGTATTTTAGGATCAGAGAGATGCACAAAACCTTGGAATATCTGAAGGGGTTAATCATCTAATCCTTTCAACATCAAGCACTTGCAATTGTGTCGTAAGTTTTCCGAAAATGTCATCTGACTACAAAGGTTTGTATTCACCTTCCATTCTTCTTTCATTTGTTATGGATGATATGATGAAACTTCTCCTCTTGCATGGAATGTCTTACCTCACAGGAAAAGCTATTGTACTTATGGGTGTCAGCGGAGCTGGAAAATCGTAAGGTTTCAAGTTGCATACTAATTTGGTTTAACCACAAGAATTGTATAGGTCATTGATCAGTTTCTAACTGCTTGTAGAGTCGAACTAGACCTTAACAAATAACTTTATAGAAGCAAAGATATCTTTTTTACTTGGCAAGGAAAAATGATTTGGATCACTGTAATGCAATACATGATAGTCAATGGTTTACTCTTCCTAGGAGACCTTTACTAAAAAGAAAATCTTCAAGCCTATTTGAACATGTTATTCCGATTTGATACATCTCCTGATTCAATTTTCAAGTTCTGAACTTTTAAGTAATTCTTATGCATGCTGGCTCAGAACAATTGGTGAGATGCTTGGAAGAGCTGTTCATGGCCGCTTTCTTGATGCGGATGATTATCACTCAGAGTCCAACAAAGGTAAGGACTATGATCATGACTTCTTAATTCAAATCATAGCTGATCAATGAGATCATATTCCCAAGGGGTGCATTTATTGACGATTTGCTTGATCAAAACAGAGAAGATGAAGAATGGGATACCTCTTTCAGAGGAAGATCGTGTTCCATGGCTTGAAGCATTGCGGAATACACTGAGAAGAGGATTAGTTGACAATGAAACACTGGTTCTTGCTTGCTCAGCTCTGCAAAAGCGGTACAGGGAAATCCTTAGATCTGCAGACCCAAATTATGAACCAGGTTCTTATGCGAGTATTGTTAAATTCGTGTTGTTGGACGTTGGGGCTGAAGTGCTTGCCGCTCGGCTGGTCAAGAGAGCAGCTGAGGGAAAGCATTTCATGCCTGCAACGCTCTTGCAGACCCAACTGGAGTTGCTTCAGATTGATGAAGCAGAAGGGATACTTAAGGTTGATGCTACTATGGATCCTGACTCCATATTGAAAACCATACGAACTTTTGTCGTCTGATCATAAGTCTACAAGGAATGGATTAAATTGAAGATGAATCACTTTAAAGAGAAGTCTGTGATAAAAAAAAATTTCTTATTGTAATATAAATTTTTCATTGCATTTTTGATAGCAAGACATACATCTGAACAACAAATCTAAGAAAAATTAGATGAAAGTAATGATGTTTCTCATTCAAGAGCGTTGTGACTATAGCAAAAGCAAAGAGACATTCAATTCATGTTATACCATTCTTGTGTATGGGGAAGATCAATGAAAAAAAGCTAATTCGTTATTATAGTTCTTGTGGTCTGGAACACGAAACTAGCCATTCAATTCATGTTGTACCATTGCTTGTGACCAGGAACCCAGTTTGGACATGTGGGACTGAAGTGTCTGGACATGACTCTCGAATTCAATAGCTCAACAAGGGGTGCAGATTTCAGGCATCGGGGTGTCTTGTATTGGTCAGGGGAAGCACCTAAGCTAACAAAGTAATCCATGAGCTTGTCAAAAGTCCCAATTTCCACTATCCTGATCTCCAGAGGCCCAATGGATTTGTCAGAGGCACGGCCCTGGCGGTAGACACTATTTAGAGATTCTTCAATGGTGAGGCAACAATCTTCAAAGACTGAAGGAGGAATATGTGTAGAGCCATTCAGACTGAGCTCCCAGTAGAGGACATAGTGGCCTGGAATGGCGGTGGTATCGGCATAGCTGGTGTACTCAACTACATTTGCATCAAATGGTATCAGATTGTGCACTGCATTTTTCACTGCATTTTGTAGCTCAGCTTCATCAGTCTTGTCGGAATCAATGCTCAAGATTACATTTTCCCGACATACGAAGCAGAATTGAGGTGCGTTGTTCTTGTATCCAGCAACTCGAAGCACATCACCCACCCTGTATCTATAGAGTCCTGAATTGGCACAAGTTCAAGCAAACTAAGCATTAGCAGACATGTTGGACAGACAAATTGTAAAAAATAAACGAGTCGAGCATTTTGTTTGGCATTTTAAAGTACCTGAATATGTGGTAACAACCAGCTCGTACTCCTGGCCAATCTTGACATCAACCAGATCGACCAATTGATTCTGTTCTTTCTCATTAAGCGACTTAGACTTGGAGATAGAATTGATGAGTCCATTGTCTCTGTGAATTGGTGCAAACTCAAAGTAGCACATGGTCGGAATAAGGGTGTAACAGACTTCGCTGGGCTTACAAAAGGGGTTCAGGTTGACTCCAAAGTGGCACTCTGAGGAAGCATATATGGAAGAGACAAGAGGGAGGCCGTTGCTATAATAGTCAAGGGTAGGTATATACTGTGACATGCTTCCGGTTACAATAACATCCACATACTTGGTGTTAGGCCATAACCTAGCGATGATCCCTTGCCATGAGTCTTTACTGCATTCAGCCTCGATGAAATCAGCTAACTCTGGGTCAGGTTTGAGGATTTTCATCACTGACTCTCTGACTGACAGATTTGTGATTTGGGCGTTAACAGTTCCCGTTCGAATATCATTACAAAGTAGAGACCAGTGCTTTTCTAGGAACCGGATGGCACGGATGAAGCCAGATGCGAAGGGCGAGCCAACCCTGAGGACTTCTTTGCGTTGGTAGAGACCACAAAGCATTTGGGAGTACATGTTCTGGTAAGAGTCTTGGCAGAGAATGGTTTCAGTTGGACTGGTATAGTTTGCATAGGGGCTAAAACGGTTGTTGTTGAAATAAGGACTCTTGAACATACTTGTTAAAACAGGGCGAGCTGGTAATCCTCCTGGGGTCTTGGCTTCAGACTTTATGGACCAGAAATACATTCCTTTGCCCTTCTCCAAATCTGGAACGAATTGGCTTATCACAGACATCCCAAGGCCACGAAGATGAAATCTCTTCCCAATCTCTTCTTGAATTGTTGGCATCAATTTTCTCTCCCCTCCGGACGTCCCAGAACTGCACACAAAGATTGCACTTCAGCAGAAATTAAAGACAAAGGATACATATGCAAGAACGAGAACATGTTAATGAGATACAGAGAATGTGAATTGTGTACTTTATAATCATACACCATTGAGACGGAGATGCACATCTCGAAAAGACAAACCTTGTCAAGAATTCAGAGGTGGATTGGAAGCAGAAGATTGGAGATTTATCACCATTGGCTATACGGTTGATATCAGGCTGAATATCTTCGTAGGTGATGACAGGCATGACTTTCTTGAACGTCTCTCTGTCAGTATGACCATTGAGATCATGGCGCTGTAAGTACTCAACGTTGGCATTTTGAGAGAGGATTTCAGCAAGAACTCTCTTTTGGACCTCATCAACGTTGGTCGTGACCTCTTCAATGAAGTGAAGAGCCTTCTTGTTTTCCTCCACTATACTACCCTCAGTAGCCTTCATCGGGCTCTTTGATGCCTCAGGTATGGCTCTTTCCATATTAATAAAGACCTGACTGCGTCAAAGATTTGCTATTAGGTGAACATAATGTATATTGTGTGTGTGGAGGAAGGTTGAAGTGGCTTTGTATAGAGGATGTTTTAAAAGCAGAGACGGATGGAGTGTATTGACTATGGCTATGGGCTCAACTGAATTCAGTATGTAAACTTGTCTCTGATAGTAGAAAAATATGTTTCAGTGAACTTCAAAGACATACAACTTTAAGGACACATATAATCTTTTTGATAATTATGGACTTTTGAGCACAGATGAACTCACAGATAGATCCACGCGTTGCGCTCTTACCAGTAGACTAAAGCCATACAACATTGACCCTTGAAAAGTAATTCACAAATCAACATAGAATAAAAAATAACAACATGGCTTGATCATCATACAATTATCAACAGTTGCAATTATAATATTTCCTATCTGTTTAGTGTGGTTTCATTTTTTATACATATGTTCCTGACAGATCTATCTTCATTATCATGTGTTTCACTCTTTATACACAATTTATGGCATATTTCAGATAAAATATTATTTTGTTATTGGTAGCTAGTGTAGTGTATTAGTTGAGTGGTTAACTGCTCTACAAGATGTTAATATTAGATTAGTGATATGATTAGTACAGCTATTGACATCTCAGCTGTTGAGTTTTCTTCTTTGTATGTACCATTGCAAAGTCTGTTCAATCCAAAGAGAATAAAAGGTTGGTAAATTTCTGTACTTTTTTCTTGGTTAAAAATTACGCGATTTAATTTTATTGTGTCATTTAGGACTCATGTGTTTATTTATTTAAAAGTTGAACAAATAAACACATATTCCTACATGTTATCCTACAGATCATTTTTTGTCCTACGTGTATTGTGTCATGTAGGACTCATGTGTTTATTTATTTAAAAGTTGAATAGTTAAAGTGTCTGTTTGTGCATTATGAAAGTTGGAGGTCAAAGTTAAAATTTGAAGCAAAGTTTAGGGTCTAATATATGTATTACGTCTTTTTCTTTTCACTCAGCGATTGATATTCATATTGGGGTTTGATTAATTTTAAATTACCAGATGCTTGGGAAAGAATTAGAAGTAAATCCATCAAATTCAAGACCTCTAAGAAAAAAAAAAGTTTATGTACAAAAATGAGTTCAAGCAATTTTTCAAATTTTATAAAGAGAAATGATTTTTGTTTGAATTAATTAACTAACAAAAATAATCAACTAATTAGATAATATTAAAATTGTATAATGTTATTCGCTGGTCATGAGTTCGAATCGTAAAATCAATCACTAATACTTGCATTAGATTAGATTGTCTATATTACACCTTTTGATATACAATCATTCCTCGCATCTTACTAACATAAAATATAATATATACCGAACTACTTTTAAAAAAAAATATAATATATGATATTTAAGATAAATTTTTAAAATATCAATGAGATGTGGATGTTTTACTCATATTTCACGTTGCAAGAAAAAAAGTAATATATTTAAAAAATAAAACAAAACCTTTTTACCAACCCATTCATTGCAAAGAAAAAAAAAAGTTGTTAAATGCAAAGCCATTAGAGAGTTTCCTGGTAAATCTTTTTATTTATTTCTTAGTTTAAAATAAAAATTACTACTAATTCTCAGTTTAATTTTGTTGTTAACTTGAAATCTAATCATTATTTGAAGATCAGTTGGTGAACTTTGTGTTTAGTTTACATTTTTTTTCTTTTCAGATTTGTTTATTTGATATGAATAAAGTTCGCGTATATTCTACTTTTTATTCTACTTGTGAAATTACATTGTATATATGTTGGCCTGTTTTTAATTTTTTTTATAAATAAATCGTTTTATAATCGTATTGTTCATGTCAGTTTGTTTGGATCTGTTAAATGACTTGGACAAATAGAAATACATCTTGATTAATCCTTATTTTATTATTTACTCCTACTGTCCTATTTTATGTGACACCTATCTTTTTTAGTTGGTCCAAATAAAATGTTATCTTACTATAATTAGAAACAATGTAACTTTAAAGTTCTCAGTTTATCTTTAATAAAACAATCACACAAATATCTAAGGATTATTTTAGACTATAAATTTCTCTAGTCTTCCTTTTTTCTTAAATACTGTGTGAAGTCAAATAGTGTCAAACGAAGAGTGATTTTTAGTGTGTGACTAATGTGTTTATGTGAACTCAATAGCTTTAGCTCGGACCTTGTATATGAGTTTGAAAGTTTTACTATAAGTAAGCATAAGTAATTGATTTTGGACATAGTAAATCGAATGAGTTGTGATAAGAATCATGAAGTAGAATCTAACACACACAGAGTTCAAATTTTAGATTCGCTTATGTTGTTATCGATATTGAATCTATCTTAGTCGAGTCGCTAATTTACTAGACCATGTGCATACCTACACCAAACTAAATTCGAATTCACGCAGAGAAGTCTGTAAAGCGCTAATGTGATACATTTACAGGTCCTTATAAAACATTGGCTGAAGAAAACTAGAAGAATTTTGAGTTTATTGAAGAGGTGACTATCAATGTTGATGAAGTCCAAAAGAGAGTTCTTCGTGAAATCCTCACTCGAAATATCTAACGTTGAGTACTTGCAACGCCATAATCTCAATGGTCGTATTGATAGAGACACAAACAAGACGGTAATTAGACATGCTTGCAAGCAACACATAATTGTAAAAGGTCTTCATGCTAAGGGTGTGAGCATACAAAGGAGCAAACATAATAACTTCTTTACTAATTTTAGAGATGCAAAATTATTACAGAGATGGAAAAAGGAAGTCATGAATTGGTTTTAAAAATAAGGAAAAAAGTGATTACAAAATGCAAAAAAATTATTTCAAAAGCAATAGCGAAATATTATAAATACAACAAATTGTTTAAAAGAAAGTCTTTAGCATGCAAAAAAAAAAAAAGGTTTAGTTGAGAACGTTTTAAAGTAGCAAATTTTATTTGTTAATGCAAAAATTATTTTTTAGAACAAATTTTATTTATTTGAGGTAGAAAAATAATTTTAAGGACAACGGTAGATTTATTATTGATGCAGAAATTATTTCTTAGAACATTATTTTTTTATTAGCTGCAGAAAATAATTAGTATCAACTTTAGATAATAGAGGGGTTAATTATGATGCAGAAATATTAATTATTTTGCAGATTTAAGGATAAACACATGCAGAAAATAAAGGCGGAAATTAACTTGAAGTCATTAGTTAGACAAGATCAACCAAGTAAATTAAACAAAGATGATTTATTTTGTTTAATTCTTTTTAGTTAGATCTAAAGTCGTTTTATCGAACAGATTAAAATCCTATAGGCATGCTTTCTAACACAAATAAGTTTACAAATTAACATATAATTCCTTAAACTTATTTTATATTTATGGAGTTAAAGAGTTGTACAAACATTACAAGCAAAACTAACGAAAAATAAGTATTTTTTTTATATATATATATAACATTAAAATGGACTAAACTTTTTCCACAATTTCTTCTAGGTGACTCTTCAACATCTTAAACTCTAAGTTTGAAACCTGCTAGAAAGGGTGATGTAACACATATACAATGGAAAAAAATAATTGTAATATAAAATGCTCATAGTTACAAATTGCTTTCATATGTACATATATAAATAACACACATAAGAAATAAAAAGGACAAAGCATAGACGAAGACCTATTACCACAAATAGGGAGAGAGGATAAGAGAACTATCTTGGATGCTTCCTTTTTGTTTCCAACACACAACAATGATAATTATGCAGAACGAAATTTTAAAATAGTAAAGAAGGCTAACCAATTATGCAGAAAGTTTTATCAGCAATGAAGTATCTAGCGAGGTTTTCAATCCACAACCGCAACACAACAATGCCCTAAAGAATGATGCAAAGTTTTACTAAAGTTCTTAATTTTTTTTTCAGGAATAGAGAGTAATATTTAGTATTTCAAGAGAGAGAGAGAGAGAGCAATGAGATAATGAGAGAGTTAACGAGTCTAGCTCTTGTGGAAAGAAGTGAGTGAATATCAAGATGTGAGAGTGTGAAATAATGAAGGGAGGGGGGGGGGGGAAACCTATTTATATAGCAAAGGGGGTGGGGTGGGGGGACAAACAAGAAAAAGAAATATTTAAAGGAATCAATTAATATACTATTTTCCTTATTTTAAAGTAGAGTCAAATCAGAAAATTTTAGGAATTATATCATTTTCAAATATAAACAAGTAAAGAAATAAAATTAGGAGTAAAAAATATATTTTTCTTAAATAAAGGAGAGTCAAAATCAAATTTTATTTTAATTTATTTTACCAAATATATGAGCAACTAAATATGACAAGAAAATTAAGATTGTCATAAACAAACATGTAAGAATTAATCAAGACAAATTTAAAATAGTAACTGAACGCGATTTGTGCATAAAGAGTAGGGGTAATACAGTAATTTCAACCATTTATAAGAAGAAACATAATTTAACTCATAAAACGCTATCGCAGAACGCGATTTATGCATAAAGAGTAGGGATAATATAGTAATTTCAACCATTTATTAGAAGTAACATAATTTTACTCATAAAACGCAATCACTGAACGTGATTTATGCATAAAGAGTAGGGGTAATACAGTAATTTCAACTATTTATAAGAAGAAACATAATTTAACTCATAAAACTATATCACTGAAAGCGATGCATAAAGAGTAGGGGTAATATAGTAATTTCAACCATTTATAAGAAAGAAACATAATTTTACTCATAAAATGATATCACTAAACACGATTTATGCATAATTTTATCGGCTTATGTGGCACTTGCTTGAAGAAAAAATCAACACGCGCTGAGCCCAGAAGATAGTGTTACGTAGGTCGAAAAGGGGTAGAAAACTATTTATAAAATAAGTTAAGGGGGTAATAGGAACTTAGTATAGTATAAGTGTGTCTCTGAAATTTCCGGCATAGGTTGATGGTACTTATGCATTTTCCCAAAATTAAAGGACATTTTTAAAAAAATACACATGTATTATGTCATATAGAGGCGGACCCATCTTTATCAAGTTTGAAAAAAATCATATGTATATCTATCTTGAGAAACTGACAGAAAGTAGGTTCGATAAAACTAATCGTACATCCATAAGGAGCATATGAGTGTTCTTGTGTTGCTGATACTAGGGTTGGAATCTAGCTAGAGCTTATATCACTCTTGTTATTTTAAGCACATAGAGATCATATTTGGTGCATCCAAAGTTTTCAAATTCTAGGATCGACTCTCCACATATAGCACTCATGTGTCTATTCGTTCAATTTTATATAAGTTTAAGTGTCGACTTATGAATACTCAAAGTTGAATGACAAACTGTTACTAAATATAAAAAAACATAATACATAAATGTACTCTTTAACTTGACCTCTAGCACTTGAGTCGCTGCGCTTGACATGATGCAAAAGATATGCACTTTAATTGCTGACTAAATTCGAATTCACGTTGAAAAGTCCATGAGACGCTAATGTGATCGATACAATGCAGGTCCTTGAAAGAAACATGGCTGAGGCAAACAAGAAGAATCTTGAGTTTATTGAAGAGGTGACTACCAATGTTGATGAAGTCCAAAAGAGAGTTCTTCATGAAATCCTCACTCGAAATGCCAACGTTGAGTACTTGCAACGCCTTAATCTCAATGGTCATACCGATAGAGAGACGTTTTTTCAAGAAATTCGTACCTGTTATCACCTATGAAGATATTCAGCCCGATATCAATCGTATAGCCAAT